GCAAAGGTAGAAGATGATGCTCAGAAGTCTGTTTATGTAGTAGTGTCCACATGAGACTTCCTCTGTGTTAGTAGCCAGTTTGCTTTTGCTCAAGTTTTCAATATGTGGGTTTTTTTCTTCCTGTTTAACAGCTTTCTCTTTTGGTTTTAGTGGGTAGGAGCTAAGCAGCATGAGTTGCAGGTAAACTCTATGCAGCTGCTGTACTATCAGGCACCAATGTCCTCGGCTATGTTGTTGTTCATCATACCCTTCTTTGAGCCAGTCTTTGGAGAAGGGGGAATATTTGGGCCCTGGACGCTTTCTGCAGTGGTAAGGCTTTTATTGACTTTATTTAAATAAATAATCATCATTGATGTGGTTGAATTTGATGGTAAGATCTGTTTCTTTGTGAAACAGATTTTTGTGCAGTCTTTGACTATGATGAGATGAGAGGGGCATGTGCAAGAGAAAAAAACTCCTTGTTTTGTCTGCCCCGCTTCCTCCCAGGGGAGGCTGTCAACTGATTTACCTCCTTATTCTTGTTTCTGTTTAGAGGGCATCTGACAACAGGAAAATCTGACAAAATCCAGAAGCTTCCCCTAGTGTATTAAATTAAAAATGTGTAAGTGCCCCAGTTCCAGCTCTTGCTGTCCACTCAGAAAAGAGATAAGCATGCTCACTTTTGACACTCTCTACTCCTCTTCTGTGGAAGGACGCCAGCACTGGTTGTTCTCTAGAACTGCTAGTTTATTTTCACTGAGAAGGCTATAATTTCTCTCTCTATCCTTCTGTCCAAAAAAGAGCCAGCGGCATATTCTTACCACTGCCAATTGTGCCGCTCAGTGATGGGTCATTTCTCGTAGTGCTGGAGTTTATGGTAGCAAGTTATCACAATAACAAAATTGGCTATTTTTCCGAAATAGTTTTTGTTGTGACTGTAAGTAAAGACTTTGTCTCAAAAGTGAGGAATACAGCCTTCGTGTGTATGACTAGCCATTTTTTCCAAATCTTAAATGTTCACTGAGAGTAAAGGAGAAAAGGCTTGTGGTTATATTAATATATACTTACGAACATCATATCCTGAACTACTTACAATTGTCACCAATCTCTGTATTGATTTGAAGCTGTTTCTGTTTTTGTTCTCCGTATGTTTTTCTTGCCTCATATTTTGCATTTGAAAGTAAAGAAAATAACCTGAAATGTATGTACAAATGGCCAAAAGCGCGTTGGGTTACTGACTGTGTCCATTAATCCACAGATAATGGTGCTGCTGTCTGGAATAATAGCCTTTATGGTAAACTTGTCCATTTACTGGATCATTGGAAATACGTCGCCTGTCACGTATCCTTTGTAACATAAGTTGTTTCTCCTGTTTCCAGGTGAATTATGTTAGCGTTCATTTCGGCTGATTTACTGTGGGAAAATTGTTTGGTAACCCGCCTGCTTTATCTTAAATTATGAAGCTGGAAAAGCACGTTCATGTTTTAGTGTCTGTCGTTCCTTTGTTCAGGGTTTATATAGACAATGGTGGTTAAACAACCGATGTAACCTTCATACCTACAAAGAGTATTTACCCACTCTTTGGCTGCCTTGAGGAAGTGCTGGCGTGTGGGTTAGTTTGTAGTGTGTGATGGGTGAGAGGCTTTGGGTGAAGGTTAATTCTCACAGCCACAGAGATGTGGGAAAGTTGCATGAGTTGAAGTCAGTGTGCCGTACCATTGCATGCTTTGGGTGTAAATAATAAGGTTCTCCAGTGTTTCTTTTTACATAAAACCCAATACTGATATTCCCTATTATCCTTAACAGATGTCTAGGTATAACATGTTTGGACATTTCAAGTTCTGCATCACCCTCCTGGGAGGGTGCCTGTTATTTAAGGATCCGCTGTCTGTTAATCAAGGCCTTGGGATTCTGTGCACGTTGTTGGGCATTTTAGCATACACCCACTTCAAGCTTCGCGAGCAGGAAAGCAATAAGAGTAAATTGGTTCAGCGTCCATAAAGCAAGTGTATCTGGAGATTAAGAATATTGTGAAGGAACACAAGTATTTAAATATGCATTGATTCTAGAATGCACAAAATTGCCTCGTTCATTGGGATCTGTGGTTTCAGTTTAACCACCAGGATCGTTGTTCTGTAACTAAACCAAACGAACTGAATTATGTAAAATGCTGGGGGTTTGCCATCTCGGTCCATCCTATCGTTTTCATTAAATGTAAATGGTAACTTGAAAGAGAAAAAGGCGCACTTCAAATTGCTGTGGAAATTGTACTGAAGTAATTATATTTTTTGCATACCAAATGAGATCATGATGGCTACAGTTATAATACAGACAGAGAAAGAAAAGGAATGCAGTCTTTGTGATCATGCCAGTATTACTGTTGTGAAGAAACTTGGAGGCACTTTTATGCAGATGTTCTGGTGTGTAGTGATGCTTCCTCCTTTTTGTCTGGTGAATGATGAAGAGGAAACATATTTTGTTCAGTAGTTTTTAAAAGGGACACCAAGCTCAATCCTGTTTCTTGCATGCTTGCTTATGTATGTTTGGCTTCAACACATTGATACATTTTGGATGAAGAAAGTAGGTGAAATTATAGGTGAAGGGAGACTAGAGGAGACATTGGAAAACTTGAAGCCACAGGCCAAGCTATAGAAAATTAGGAAGTCAAATCTTAAGAGTTCATCTTATTTTTTTCTTTTGGTCCATCAGGACATTAATGAAGTCATATTCATATTTTAGAAAATTCTGTTACTGCTTTATAATTTCCACTATGCCAAAACCAAGGCTTTTCATGAGACCTTGTAAATACTCATGAGCCTAATAAAATCTCTAGTTTTCTGGTAATAACCAAATATTTTGCAGCCCTTGCACGCAGACACCCATGCTAAAAATATTTTTTGAGAAATCTTTGGAAAGGTCACAATCTGTAAAGGACGTGAAGGTTGCCTGGTTCTCTCTCTGCCTTCAAGGCCACCTCCCTCACTCCCACACCTTTCCCCCAGTTACATTTGGTGGGGTCTGCAGGTTTGGCTGTTTCGGGAGGAGGCCCAGGGGCTGTCTGGGCAAGGTTTCCCCAGCACTCAGTCCCTGGTAACATATCAGAGTGACTGAGCAGTGCAGGGTGGGACCTGCTTCTGCTCTAATTTGGGAACGCTTTGAAAATTACTTTATGCCAGTATCAAGCACTGATTTTGACAACATGGAAGGAAGGAGAAGTTGAGTACTCTGCTATTTAAAAAAAGAAAAAATAACTGCTTTCAGTAAATCTGGTGAGAACATATGTTCACTGGATTTGCAGGGCTAGAATTTATTTGCAGTATCTTAATCCTTACATTTTGGGGTTGGTTTTATCTTCATCTACCTCTAGCAGATTTAAAGAGGGGAATTATGTGAACAAAAGCAGGTATTTAAGATTTACAGCCACCAACAGAAATGATACTTAGTTCCTCTTAAGCTTTTTTACAATGGAGGTAACAAGTATTTCTGTAAGAAACAATGCAAATCTTCTCAAGCTTATAAATTATTTATTCTGTCGCAGAGTTCTTAAGAAAAAGTTATTTCTCTGTGTAATCTAAGTTTACACTGTAATACACTATATTATTTCAGAGATACCTGAATAATTTTACATACTTACCAACTGTGTCTTAGACATTGTACTGGTCCAAGGATAATTTTTTTTTGTATGTTTTTATAAATCTATAATTAGTTTAAAAATACAGCCTGGCCTACTGAAAAATGTGGTCAGACAGGACAATATCTGGATGCATATCCTTCAGTACGTACACCGAGAAAGCCATTTGCATTAATTTGTGCTGTGCACAAGTTCTTCTAAAATGTAGATAGACCGCAGAGACTCTTACAGTTAGAAAACAACTGGATTAGAAGCCTGTATTACAACAATATTTGGGATGAGACTGATGTAAATATAAAGTGGCAGAATGAACAAAACAACCATGTCTGAAAGTACAAAGGACTCCTCAAGGAGAGGAGCAGATCTGCAAGAGCAAGTCAACAGTATCATTAAAACAGTGCATTATAAATAGTCTGTTGCTGGAGTGTGTGAGTCGTGGAGGTCACTTAAGTGACGTGATTTTTTTCATATGTTCAAGAACTCTCCTTTGAGATTTACCTGTTGTATCTAACAAATAAAGTATCTTGAACTTTGTTGTATGGTTCAAAATATTAAATCCAGGAGGCTTGTGTAGTTATGGGATAAATAGATCTTTATATGTATTGTTTCTTTGAATACCATGTGTAGGGTGGGAATAAATTTTTAATCACTTGACTGATACCTGCTTATTGCAGGAGAGATACTGCAGTTGTTATTGTCTTTTTTTCATCTTCTGTTTGAATTGCATACACTTTAGGGGCATAGGTGTGTGAAAGGCAAAACGGTGCCACTTGGATTTCTGTCTGTATAAATATTTCAAGGAGTTTGCATGTTTTGGGGCTGAACTCATGACACAAATGAAGGAGGCTTCATGCCTCCCCTCCCTTGGGCAAGTACAGGGACCTGCATGTATGCATGTACATGCCCCCTGACAAGCCACCTATGGGGCTCGTGCTCCATCTGCTTCTCCATCCTGCACAAAGGTGGCCAGTGCTGAGGTTCCTTGGTCTCACCTTTCCCCAATGCTAAAACCATGCATGCTCAGACCTCACTGCTTAGACCTTCAGCAGAGAAGTCCCAATGCTCTCCCAGTGGCACTGGGGAGGAGAGCGGGAGCAAAATTAACTGTTGCAATGCCAGAGTAGGGCAGTTCTGGCACAAGCCACCTCCTTCCTTCAGGGGCAAATATATGTCAAATGAAATGTTAATGAGATTGAATTTTTCTTCAGGAGATTCAGGATTGATTGATCTAAGAGAAGGAAGGAGTGAGACTTTCATTTTGGATGGTTTTACTGCAAGCACTGTGGTAATATATAGAATCACAGAACGTTTTGGGTTGGAAAGGATCTTTGAAGGTCATCTAGTCCACCCCCCTGCAGTGAGCAGGGACAGCTTTAGATCAGGTTGCTTGGAGTTCCTTCCAACCTGACCTCGAATGTCTCTGGGGTGGGATATCTACCACCTCTTTGGGCAACCTGCTCCAGTGTCTCACCACCTTCATTGTGAAAAAACTTCTTTTTATCTAGTCTAAATCTACCCTCTTGTAGTTTAAATCCATTATTCCTCATCCTATCTCAACAGGCCCTGCCAAAAAGATGTTCCCTATCTTATAGGCCCCCTGGAAGGCTGCTATAAAGTCCCCCAGGCGCCTTCTCCAGGCTGAACAACCCCAGCTCAGCCTTTCCTCATGGGAGAGGTGCTCCACCCTTCTGGTCATTTTTGTGGCCCTTCTCTGGACCCACTCCAACAGGTCCATGTCTTTCTTGTGCTGAAGACTCCAGAGCTGGACACAGGACTCCAGGTGGGGTCTCAACCAGAGTGGAGTAGAGGGTGAGAATCACCTTCCTTGACCTGGTCACACTTCTTTTGAAGCAGCCCAGGATAGGGTTGGCATTTTGTGCTGTGAGCATACATTGCCAGCTCATGTCCAGCTTTTCACCCACCAGTACCCTGAAGTCCTCTGCAGGGCTGCTCTCAATCCATCCCACAGCCTGCATTGATAGCGGGAACTGCCCTGACCCAGGTAGAGGACCTTGCACTGGGACAAACTTTTAAATCCTGAGGTAAAAATTGAGTCTTATAAAAATTACAGATACTTACCTGGTGACAAACTTGCTTATTCTAGTTTTTACTGCATCACTTTAATGTTTTCCTGCTAATTATACATACTTCATTCAGTTTTGGCTTTTCTGAAAGGGAAATCATGGACTTGGCATTTTTAACAGTATGCAGCCCTGGATGTGCCGTTGCAGTTGGAGCTGTACTGTACAAACCCTGGTGTTTACTTTCTGCTTTTCATTTTACTTCACATTCTACATATGACTAAACCATGGTAATAAGGTGGACCTTGGTCATTTTCTGCCATCAAATGTTTTGCTGCTTATATTTGCATTCTTTACTTTAAAAGGCTACCATTAATGTAGTTCCAGTGAAAAAGCTAACATAAATATGAGGGTGGCATTTAAAAATTGGAGCCCATCCAGATGATTCTGATTAAAATATGAGTGACTGGTGGTAAGTTATGTTTGCTCATTCTGTTCCTACACTTTAGAACAACATACACAAGGTTTTTTCATCTTCCTCAAAGGAAGTATGCCTTTACGTACTCGATTAGTTCAAAGGTTTGTGTTACATTTAACTTTGGTAACTCAGCACTTATTTGACAGATTTTGCATCTGGTTTTGTACAACTTGCCGAATTCTTGCAGGCTCTGGGGGCACAGCGCCAGAGGAGTTTTCCTGTTGATAGGTGTGCAGCCACTCTCTGAGGCTCGAGGTGGAAGGAGGGCGGTTTGCTGCTGTTACACGTCTGAAAAGGAGGTTTGTCTCGCAGGATGTCTACCTCCAAGACAGAGCTGCGATTCAGTAGGGATGTGTCCTCTCTCTGTCTTGTTTTGTGAAATGAATGCCCAGTGATGGCTGGGGGCTAAAGCAACATTAAAGCCTTGTTTGGGCTACCCATAGTTTTTATTGAACTTTAAAAAACATACTAGTAGTCAATGCTGGTTAAGTATTAAGTTAAAAATCACTTTTTTAGAATGCCTTATATAACTGAAGCTTCAGAAGAGCTGAAATACAGCTCAGGTCTAACCCATGTCTCGTTTGTCACATCTGAAAAATCTTATCAAAAGGTAATGATGCATTTTGTAACTGGGTGTGTGTATTTATAGAGTTGGGCTGCTGAGAAGGGGCTTGCTCTTGAGCTGTACTGTGTTACTGAACACTGGTGTCCTGTCTATGCATTTAGCAGCAATTTAGAAACATCCCGCTTGAAATTCACCAACGTGCACTCCCAATAGGTGAAAGAGCTTTTTATCTTCTTGCTAAACGCGAGGCTTACAGTTTAAGGGAATTTGGAGGTCGAGCCTTAATGTCCCGCAAGTCACCTTTCATAATAAGATCAAGGTGTCTGTTTTGATCCCAGTTATATAGTTAGTGTCTTACCTGGATTTTAAAAGAAGCAGAGTTTGGATTGCAGACTTGCAGATGTTTGCTTGTGTTATGTTTTGAGGTTTTTTTCCCACTTAAAATTTTATATTACCCATTCACAACCCAACTTCCCTGTTTAATGAGAAAACAAAAAAAAAAGGTATGTTGAATGAATGAAAGGTAGACTG